TAAATTTGTTCCATACCTTGTAAACCCGAACCTTAGATTCATACATCCAGTCAACCTATTCAGTATCTCCCCTTGAGTATATAATGTTTCAGACTTATTTTTAAAACTGAGCTGGTCTCTCCCTCAACTCTCTTGTCTCAGTCTCTCATCTCAGTTGATGGCAAACTCATTGTTTTATGTGCCAAAAGCCTGGTCCTTCATAATTCTCCTACATTTTTCTTATGCCCATTTCTGTCTGTCAGAACGTCATCTTGGCTTTACTTTCAAAATATATCAGGTCTGACCACTTTTCACCATCTTGTTCTAAACCGCACCCTCTCCTCATTGTTGTCACTTAAAATCTGCTTTTTTTTTCTTCAGTATGGGAAATCAAACTCAGGACCTTGTGCTTACAAGGTGGCGCCACTGAGCTAAATCCCTGGCCCAGTCTGCTTTTAACATAGGAGCTACTCTTAAGAAAAAAACAAAAGCAAGAAACAAAATTAAAAAAAAAACACCTCTGGTTGGCACTCTTAATGATTGCTGTGTGACTAAGTAAAAGCCAAAGTCCTTTAAAGAATCAACAAATCTGTATGTACACTCTGGGTCTCCTTCCCCGCAATATGCATTGTTTACCTCAGAGTGCTGCTGTCAATTTAGGATCATTACATGCTGGCCACCTTTTTGTTTTTTTGTTTTTTTATTTTGGTACTTGAACTCAGGACCTTGAGCTTGTGGGGCAGGCGCAATGCCACTAAGCTAAATCCCCAGCTCTACCTTTTCTGTTTTTACCTACATGCCTTAGGGCAGTAGTGGTGAACCTAATGGCATCTGTGGAGCAGCAACTGGTTATTTTTTTTTTTAATCATTGAACTCTCTAAAAGATTCACCATCATGGCGTTCGGGCTTTTGCATGCATTGCTCTTTCCAGATACAAGATTTGCTAAATTACTTCCTTCACGTATTTTTTCAAATGATGCCTTCTCGGTTGAGACACTCCTGACTGCTGTATGTAAAATTTTATCTGTTTATATACTTCCTGCTTTCATTTTATTTATTTATTTATTGTGTTGGTACTAGGGATCGAACTCAGATGCTTGCTCTTGCAAAGTAGGGGGCGGAACCACTGAGCTAAATGACCCTCATTTTAAATTTTCTTCATAACACTTGTCATATCCTGATATATTTGGTTATTGTGTTTATTATTTATGTCCTTTTTTTTTTTTTTTTTGGTACTGGGGATCGAACTCAGGCCCTTGGGCTTGCGAGGCAGGTGGTGAAACCACTGAGCTAAATCCTCGGCCCTATGTTCTCTTGAAATTTAGGTTTCCTGAGGGTTTGGAATTTTGTTTGTTTTTTGTTTTGGTACTGGGAATCGAACTTGGGACCCTGCGCTTTTAGAGACAACTTGGAACCACTGAGCTAAATCCCCTGGCTGGAATTTTAATATTTGGCTCATAGCTGTATTCTAGTACTGTATCTAGAACAGTGCCTGCTACATATTGGTCACTCATGATTTGTTAAATCAGTCAGTGGACAAACCTTTTAGAGAGCTGGGGTCTAGAGGAAGACTGCTTTCCTGCTTCTCTCCTGTATTCCTAAATTCTTTGCTTTCTTCCTAGCTTTCTATATATTGCATCTTACAGACTATATAGGACTTGACCCAGTGGCACTAACTTTGCTTTTCCCTGGCTGGCAGATTGAGGTAGTAAATGTGGTAGAATCTTAACTGGCAGGAGTGGAGACACCTCAGTTTATCACAAGGCAGTCTGTGGATATGAAATGTCTGAAGTCAAGTTTACCTTTAATTTTACTTTTACTTTGCATCATTGTATTTTCACTCCCAGCAGTATTTGATTTAAACATATGTTTCTTATATCTAAAGTGCTAGTGAATAAAATTTTTATATAAAGAAAAAGGTTTTCTTTGTCATTGGAGCTACAACCTCCCATTTGGCATTTTTCTCATTTTGTGTAGGTATGTGTGTTGCTGGGGCTGTGACTCAGGGTGATATGTCAGGCAAGCACCATATCACTAAACTACACCCTGTACCCCGTTTTTTAAATCAGTATTTTTCAGTAATCTTTCTTATGTTTAGTTTTTCCAGTGCTCCTGCTCATGAAGATGAGAAGGAATTGATATTTGGTGAGGGTGTTGAAGGTACAGGGTTGGAGAATTGAGCTTAGCCAGCTGTGATGGCATGTGCCAAGCCCAGGCTTCGCTACATAATGAGTTCAAGGCTTGACTGAACTACATAGTAGGACTCTGTTACAAAAAAACAAAATAAAACAAAAGATTAAGGGCTGGGGTTGTAGCACAGAGGTAGAGAGAGCACTTGCATAGCACACTGGAGGCATTGGATTTGAACTCCTAATACCTGGTATGCCCCCTCTTCCCAAAACATGTATCACAAGTACAGGTTGAAACTGGAATTTGTGTACTGAAATATTCATTTGTTCAGTAGCGCAGTGGTATGTACAATTTTTAACCTAAAGAATGTGTGAATCACTAATGCTTCCTGTGGTGCATTGATACTTTGGTTTAACCTGCAGTTTGTACTGGTATCTTTTTTTTTTTTTGTTTTGTTTTTGAGACAGGGTCTCACTATGTAGTTGAGACTGACCTGGAACTCACTATGTAGCCCATGCTCGTCTCAAACTCACAGTGGTCCTCCTGCCTCAGCCTCCCGAGGGCTGGGATTAAAGGCATACGCCACCACGCCTGGCTGTACTGGTATCTTCTTGAGAATCATTTGCTTACTAGCTGAACCAAAATTTCTTCTTTGTCAAGGAACAAGCTGAAATGGAATAATGAAAATTGTAAACTTGATTATTTCTGGGCAAAATTTGTCGTGGTTTAAGATCTTGACATGTACGAAAACAGGTGATTCTTAATCTTGATATTAACTTTTTCAGTCAAATTGTCCACAAAAATAATGTTATAAATGGTCTGATAACTTTCCCTCATAACTTGTTGAAAATAAAACATTTTTGATAGTACTGGAACTGGAACTCAGGTTATTTACACTGAGCTGAATCTCCAGTCTTTAAACATTTTTTTATTTTGAGACAGACCCTTGCTAAAATCACCAAGTACAGGTTGGGCCTGAGCTTTGACCCTCCTACCTCTCAGCCTTCTAGAGTGCTGGATTTATGTGCCACTACAACTAGTGAAACTCAGTATTTGAGGCATTTTCCATATATTTTTTTGTGCCCTTGCTAGAAACTTGAATCCTTTGTCATTTGTTATGTGTCTACATTAGAGTGGTAGATGTAACTGTAGAAACATCTATTACTTAGGTAATATTAAGTTTTAGGAGACACTTGTCCATTTGGACTTAACACTGTAACTTAAATCAGCAGTACATAAGCTTGTTACATTTTGAAATATTCTTTCCAGTTTTTGTATGTGGATATACAATTTGTTTGAACCCCCCTCCAACCCCGTACTGGGTATAAAACTCAGGACCTTGTGCTTGTGAGGCAGGAGTGGTACAATTTGTTAATTGAATATTTATTTCAAGAAAGTGAAATGTTAAGGTTGTATTAGTGTTACTTTTCTTTCTCTATGGAAAAAGAATCTATTGTAAAATATAACCTTTTAAATTTGTTTTGAAATCTATTTCTGACTAAAAGAAAAGCTGTTGTACAATAATCAAAAAATTAACTTTGAAGAAAAATCATTTTAGTTTTTAGAGATATTGATTAGTATTATGAACTGGGATGACTATAAGTTGACTTATATCAAACAAATTACCATGTTAGACAGTGACATCTTTTTATCAGACAGTAGTGATTTTATTTTCAGAAGACATCTTTGGGACTGAGTGCAGTGGTGCATGCTTATAATCTTAACTACTTAGGAGGCTGAGGCAGGAGTGTTAAAGTTTGAAGCCAGCTTGGGAAAATAAATGAGACTTTACTTAAAATTAAAAACAAAAACAGAAACACAATGCCTGGGATGTAGATCAAATAGAGCTCTTTCCAAGCACATGTGAAGGTTCAGGTTCAATCCCCAGCCCTCTGCAATGTTTGGGTTGATTTTCTAACATCAAAAGAACTCAGAACATACAGATAATTGTGCAGGAAAAATAGAAAAGGCATCTATTCTTTAGTTTATTATTCCTTAGCTTTAAAAATTATTGATATGCTTCAAAGATATTTTATTGATGAAGGACAAAATATAAGGTATTTTGAAAAACACACTATTAATGAGGCAGGCGGCGGCACCACTGAGCTAAATTCCTGGCCCTACCACACTATTAATGAGATCAGTTATTGGAGTGTCCAAGTTTGCATTTTTTTTTAAATGTAATACTGTTTATTTAACTTGGAAAACATTTCAGCATTCTAAACATACAAAAAAAAAAACCAAAAAACACGACATTGCAAATCCTGTTTAAGTACTGAAGTTTCTTGAAACTTCATTGGCTCTGTGCCGAAAATGAAGAGTTCTACAGTTTTTGTTTGGAAGCAACAGTTTCCATCTACCGCACTTAACTAAAAAAAAACGAAACAATAATGAATCCAAACACTTCTCATGCCAGCTGACCCTCTCTGTCCCCAGCTAGGGTGGCAGTGGGATGCTAGATCACTCTATATACAGAAGCTAACTGGTCGCCCACCACGGCGTCAACAGCTCTACGGTCCCCTCCCAGGACCATTTGTCCCACACCCTCAGTGCCAAGCAGGGGGTATTGAGGGTTTACCTGGATTGCTGTTCTTTTTACAAACTCTAGATATGTACAGTTGGTAACTAAGGGTTTCTAGCCAATAACCATATAGTCAACACCACCTTACAAACAAAAAAACAAACAAATGCCAGAGACATCTTCAAATGCCTTTACACACCAACAGCAAAGTGCACAGAGCGAGAACATGAAGTGCCTTTCCAGTTTAAAAATGTTTGGAAATATGTACAGCTTTGATACAGTTCCACAGTGCTCCAGACCCCCATGGCCAACTTCTGGAGCATTTTGAGATACTACACGATGGCAGTCCGGCTGGCATTTAACCTAAGAGATGGTCAGTCACGGCGCTCCTCTACTCTAAGGGATTCACAAGGAGACAGAGAAACAGTTTTTTTATTCATCCTCCTCCTCCTCCTCTTCCTCATCTTCCTCTTCTACCTTTTTCCGGGGAACTTTAGCAGGACCCTTGGCAACATCAAACTTTCCTTTAGACTTATAGTCGGCCACATCCTTCTCATACTTCTCCTTTAGCTTCACCACCTTGGTGATGTAGGGCTGCTTTTCAGTGTCACTCAAGTTATTCCACATCTCACCCAGCTTTTTGGCCACGTCTCCAAAGGAGATACCAGGGTTGGTGGATTTGCTCTTGGGGTGGAATTCTGAACAAAACAGGAAAAATCCAGACGGTGGTCTTTTGGGGGCATTAGGGTCCTTTTTCTTCTTGCCTCCCTTTGCAGGGCCGTAATCTTTCATCTCTCGGTCATAGCGCAATTTATCTGCCTTGGCCATTTCGTCAAACTTCGATTTCTTCTTCCCAGACATTGTCTTCCACCTCTCCAAGCACTTCTTGGAAAATTCTGCAAAATTGACAGGGACCTCTGGGTTCTTCTTCTTGTGCTCCTCTCTGCAGGTCTGCACAAAGAAGGTGCAAGCAGACATCTTGCCCTTTGGTTTCTTAGGGTCCCCTTTAGCCATCCTGACTGTGTTGTTCCTGAGTCTGGGCAGCGCAGGGCACTACGCGCGGCTAGGGCTCCCAGCCTTGTGCTAGCTGCCTCCACGAGAGCCGCCTCAAGTTTGCATTTTTTTATTTGCATACTAGTTGTGTTTTTTTTTTCCAGCTTTAATTGAGTTTATTGGTACATTTTAGGGATACAGTACAGTTACATTCATTGTTGGGATCTTGTACCTCTTTCTACATGACAAGTCTTGATTCTCATTTTTTCCCCTTACCTCTGCCCTCCCTTCACCCCCTCCTCCCCTCCCCATCTACAAACACTTTATTTTCATCTTTTCATTCTCTCACATTTTTTTCTTTTCCCTTTTTTACTCTTCCCCTACCCATCCCACCTTTGCTACACTTTTAGCTCCTTTCTTCCCATTTCTAGATGTCAGTAATCTTATTAGAATCTTATGCATTGTTGCACATTATTCATACCAGGGAAACTATTCGGTATTTACACATGTGTGACTTATTTATTTCACTTAGGAGTATATCTTCAATATGTATCCATTTTCCTATGAATGAATCTATTTTTTCATTCTTTATGGCTGAGTAATAGTCCATTTTATAGAAAAACCACATCTTCTTTATCCAGTTTCCAACTGATGGGCAGATGGGCTGTTTCCAAGATTTAGCTATTAAAAACTGTGCCGCTGTAAACATGGGTGCACATACTTCTCTGTGATATGATTGTTTTAGTTCTCTTGGAAAGATACCCAGCAGAGGGATGGCTGGGTCAAATGGAACCTCCAGTCCAAGCTCTTTGAGGTATCTCCAT